AGTTTCTGAAAGGCAACGTCCCGCTCCCGCAACAAGGCCATGGTGCTGTCCAATTCTTCCTTGCTTTCTTCCTTGAGTTTCTGAAAGGCAACGTCTTGCTCGCGCCATAACGCCACGGTGGCATCGCGTTCCTGCTTGTTTTCCTCCCTCAGTTTTTGGATCGTTGCGTCTCGCTCGCGCACCGCTGACATGGTGCTATCGAGTTCGAGGTCTTTTTCGGTTCTCTCTCCTCGCAGGGACTCGATCGTTGACTCGTACACAGAGATGCTCTCCTGGACTCGCCGAAGCTCTTCTTCTTTGCCAATCTGCTCCTCTTGGAGGTTCTGGATGGCAGAATCTTTCTCCTGTAACAACGACCGGGCAGCAGCAAGCTCGGCACCCTGCTTGGTTTCCTTTGCTTCATAGACGGAGAGGCTATCCCTGACTTGCTGTAACTCTTTTTCTTTGCGATTGCTTTCCTCTTCGAGGTTCTTGATGGTAGAATCTTTCACCTGCAACAACGACAGGGCAGCAGCGAGTTCTTCGTCCTTCTCCATTTTCTCTCCTGTGTACACAGAGAGCCTCTCCTGGACTCGTCGAAGCTCTTCTTCTTTGCTTTTGCTTTCCTCTTTGAGGTTCTGGATGGTAGAGTCTCTATCCTGCAACAACGACAAAGCAGCAGCAAGCTCGTCGCCCTGCTCGGTTTCCTTTCCTTCATACACAGAGAGCCTCTCCCTGACTCGCCGTAGCTCGTCTTCTTTGCCATCGTTTTCCTGTAAGAGGTCCTCAATGGTAGAGTCTTTCTCCCGCAAGGAAGACAGGGCGGCAACAAGCTCTGAATCTTGCCCCGCTTGCTTTTCTTGATAGACCGAGAGGCTCTCCTTGACCCGACGGAGCTCTTCTTCTTTGCCGGTGCAGTCCTCCTGGAGGTTCTCGATGACAGTATCCTTCTCCCGCAGGCAAGACAGGGCGGCAGCAAGCTCGGCATCCCGTTGGGTTTCCTTTCCTTCGTACAAAGAGAGGCTCTCCCGGACCAGGGCGAGCTCCTCTTCCCGGCCGTCCCGTTCCTCCCGGAGGTTTTCAATGGCAGAATCTTTCTCCCGCAGCTCGGCGTCCTTCTCGGCCTCCCGTTCTGCTTGCGCGGAGAGGCGCCCCCGGACCCGGGCCAGCTCGTCTTCCCGTTGCTCGGCTTCGTCGCGGAGGTTCTGGATCGTTGCGTCCCGCTCGTCGGGAAGACGGGACGACGAAGCAGAGAAATCGTCGCCCTCGGCTTCGGCTTCGGCTTGGCTTTCGTCGTCCTCTGACCAGGATCCCCTAGAGTGCAGGGACTCGATCGTAGACTGGAGCCGTTTTTCCCGGTCCCTTCTTTCCTCCCGGAGCCTCTTGATCGCGCCGTCTCGCTGTTCGGGAGGGACTTGCCCCGAAACGGACCTTTCGCCGTCCCCGTGTCCGGCCCCCGTCTCCCGGACCCGCCTGAGCTCCTCCTCGAGCTCCCTCCGCTCTACCTCGAGCCCGCGAAAGCTTTCCTCCTTCTCCCGGAGGAGTGACTCCGTGCGGTCGAGCTCGGCGTCTCTTTCGGATCCCTTTTCCTGAAGGGTCTCCACCCTGGACTCGTAGAAGGAAAGCCTCTTCTCGACGCGCTCGAGCTTGTCGTCCCGCTCCCGACCTTTCTCCCTGAGGTCCTGGATTGTCGAGTCTCGCTCCCGCAGCAGGGCCACTGCATTGTCCCGGAGGGACGAGGACGCCTGGGCCGACGCGGGGTGTTCGAGGTGGACCGCGAGCTCGTTTTCGTGGATCTTTTCGAGGTGGTCGAGGTCCTTCTCGTGGCTCGTTCGGAGGTCGGAAAGCTCCCGACGGTGCTGCACCTTGAGCCGCTCGATTTCGTCTGCGTGCACGGGTGCCTGTTCCTCCAGTGCCGCCCGAACCTCTTGCTCCAGTTCGATCCGGAGACTGATCCGCAGGGACGCTATTTTCTGCTGGTGGTCCAGCGACAGGTCCCTTCGGAGTTCCTCCATTTCCCGCTGGTGGTCCACGGCGCAGTCTCTCGCTGCCGCGTCCCGTGCCAGGTCGATCTCTTTCAGGTGGGACTCCACGAGCGATTCCAGCTCCTCGGACCGCTCCCGGGCGGCCTCCTTCGCTGCGACCTCCAGCTCGACGGCGAGTTTTTGTTCGTGTATGTCGCACATCATCTCCAGCTCTTGCTTGTGGTTTCGATCCATGTCCTCGAGAGATGCCAGGGCGTTGTCTCGTTCGAGCACCAGTTCCTTCCGCTCGGTTTCAGCCTCTTCCTGGAACTCTTTCATGATCGATTCCATGTCTTGGTGGTGCTTGAGGAGGGTTTGTTCGAGGCGATTCTTCGCTTCCTCCTGCTCGTGCTGGAGTTTCTCCTCGTGCTGCTTGGTGAGGAGTTCCAGTTCTTGCCTGTGTTCGTTCGAGGCTTCTTGTTTGGCCCTGCGGAGTTCTTCGCACTGGTTGTCCCGCATTTGCATCACTTTTTCGGAATGCGTGTGGATGGCCTCCTCGAGGACCCGGTCCTTGCTCCGTACCTGTTCCTCCAGCAAGCGCTTGGAGGCCTCCGTGTATTCGGCGTGGCACAGGGCCTGTTCCAGCAGGTCTTCCCTCTTTGCCCGCTCTTCCGAGTACCTCTTCTCGACGGCCTCGAGTTCTGTTCGGTGTTTCTCGGAGGCTTCCTCGAAGAGTTTGTGGAGTTTCTCGAGCTCTTCCGCGTGCCGCTCGAGTTCCTTGGCGTGCTGGAGGTCCCGGCCCCGAATCAGCGCGTCGATATAGATCTTGCTGTCCTGGTCTCCGGGGTCGGCCCCGTCGTCTTGTTGTTGTGGGTTCTCCTTGTCGTCTTCGTCCGTGTCTTGTGCGTTGTAGCCGTTGCACGTCTCCAGTTCTTTGACGGTGCGCAACCGGACCGGTATTTCGGGGAACTGGTCGGTTAATTCGGATGAATCGAAGCTCCCGTCGTTACTGTCGTTCTCCTTGTCGTTCTTGTTGTGGCTTCCTTTTTCGCACACAGGTTCCGAAGTCGATTGGAGGTACGTCGACAGAGATCCGGAAAGCTTCCGATCGCCGCCATGCAGTTGCTGGTTCTGGCTTTCTCCGTCGGCGGCGTCGTGCTCGTCGTCGTCTTGGTGCTGTGGTTTCCTATCCTCTTCTTGCTGTTGCTCTTGCGGTTGCTGTTGCTCTTGCTCTTGCTCTTGCTCTTGCT